ATGAATATTTTGAATCCCTGCTCTTTAGTTAAACAAGTCAACGACCGAAACGACTGTCGTAAGATGTTGCTTTAGAGATATGTATGTCGATTCGGTTCCTCTTCGAGCCCTGCCTTCTGGACTGAAGTCGGTGTCTTGTGCTCACTGCCTGCTCTACATCCTTCAAGTCCAATGCCTTCCTTCACCGAAAGGCTGTCACTTACAACATCTACCGGCTCTCATCACATTGCTGAATACAATTTCACCGTCTACAACTGTGGTGCTTTCAAAACGTAAGTTTCATTTGTACATTTTTTCAGATAAGTTTATAAAGGTTTCTTTGCAGCTGCTCTTCGTGTAGTTCCTCTGGGACATTTTGCGAATGGTGTCCAAAGTCGCGTAAATGCATGTCAAATGGAAAATGTGTTGAAGTAAGCAAATCATATGATAAGTCTTTCATCTATGTCACTTTGTCTTTGAAGGGAAAAGCAGATGAGTGTGTGCACATCAAAGAACTTTCTCGAATCGCAATCCCATTGGGGGGCGCACAGGAGATCTCATTCTCAGTGGCGCATATAGACCGATTACCTAAAGATCGTGAATACGCATGCAGGATAATGCTAAATGGGAATCCTATTTCCACTCTAGCTGTGCTTTCTCAGGTAGGGCTATTTAAGAGATTGGTCAATGCTTCAGCACGTCATCCAGTATTGTACTCAAGGACAGGCAACAGCTTTATGTTCTTGGTAGCCATTTCCGAAGAAAGAGGAGGGAGATAGCGCTCTAGAACATTCTAAATCTATGAATTTATTTCTTGATTTCTCTGCTTTTTTTCAAATACGAACAATCTTCAAACCTTTTGATTAATTGCTGTTGCGTCTAATAGCTGCTTTTTAATTCAAAATCGAATTTCAGTTTACAGTTTTTCTTGTTCTCCTACTGCCCGTAATGCTAGTGCCGCCGGCACTTCATATCTTTCACTGAGATTTTTTCCTATAGCCAATTCTGATTTACACTTAGTCTGGTCCTAACAGCAGCGTTTTTCTTCGTGACCGGGTTTTTGCGCAGGAATGTTGTAGGAGTTTGCTGCGAACAACGCTCCGATAGCATCAGTAGCGAAGCCAGAGTACGGGCAAAATGTCAAAGCGCTCTGTAATGACGTTCTTACATTAACTTAGGGTATATTGTTGTGACGGGGAAGTTATATGTTTCGAATTCTTTGGAAGATCACTGAAACCGGGACAGGTAATTGTCGAAAATTTCGATAGACTTCAAAAGTATATAGGGAAAATTGGAAATAGGTTTAAACAGCTACTTGCATTAAACGAGATTCGGTGATTCTTGTATTCATTTCTTCACTAGTTTTTCAGTCTGAGATGATGGTGATTTTTTAAAGATTTTTTCGATAAACCTTAACTTGGAACATCTCCTGAATAGAAATATCTCCAGTTCTAATTTAGTAAACTAGGCGTTACAGGATACCGTGAAATGCGCAGCAGCGCGGCTCTCCTATCCGAATCCATTGCCAAATGTGACAGTTCCTCTAGAACTCGTACAAGGTGACGAAGTCATCGACAGTACCGAAGGTCTGAATATACGATCTCAACGTAAAACTTGCAAATGATACTTCATTTCAGTATCCATTTACTCGTGCTCTCTTCTGGCAGCTGACTGTTCTTCTTGCGTCTACATCTCGTCTACATGGAGCTGTTCATGGTGCAGTGGCCGTTGCTCTCACGAATGTACACAGCCAGCTCAAGAAGTTGTCTGTGATCGTCCGTTAATCACATCGGTTTGCTTTTTGAAACATTTCCGATCCAAATAAAGGATATTTTCCAAATTTGCAGTTCTCACCAAGTAGTGGACCGACAGAAGGAGGGACGGAGATCACAATTCACGGCAGGGACTTGGGCTCGTCGATTGAGGATGTAAGAGACCGTGTGATCGTAGCTGGAAGTCGCTGCAGTGTGATTAGCTACGAGATTTCGAAAAAGATCGTCTGTCGCGTTGAAAAGGTTTATTACCGTAATCCCTTTGTTCATATGCATCGTCTATCTTCATCCTACCTCCAGGGCTCATCGTCTGGACCTATTCGCATAACTGTAGGAAAGACGAGTTCAAGAGTGGCTGAGTCGGTGATGCTGTATTCATTCGTGGAGGTTTCGGTGTTTTCCGTATATCCACTATTTGCTCCGGTCTCAGGAGGAACAAAGGTGGCTCCCATTGTTTTAACTATCAATAAGCTTTCTACCAATAGTACTCCTGGTCAAAACTCAATTTTTATAGGTTACCTTATATGGACAGAATCTCGATGCTGGCTCGAATGTGACTGTGAAAATTGGAGATGCTGCATGTGAAAACATTGTGGTAAGCAGCAAGTAATCAGAAGTCGTATATACTATATGCTATATCAATGCACTATAGCGAAACTCAACTTCTTCGTTGACCTGCATCGTCACGAGGGCTTCTTCTCCAACAAAAACTGCCAAAGTCAATGTAGCAATCGATGCAGCTCGTCTGAAAGTTCCGAGCACATTTGACTTCCGGCCAGATCCATCAATAACAACTGTATTTCCTCTAATCAGTTTCAAGTCCGGAGGAAGAGCAGTTACTGTTGAGGTAAGCCACTGTTTCTGTAATTCGTCTATAGACCATATCTTAACGAATTTCATTTTTGAATCAAGATGTTTTTAGGGTACAAACTTCGACGCAATCCTTTCGGCGCGGATGTTCTTTGTTTCCTCTACAGCACCGCCATTCGAGGTCGTTTCCAAGCTCTCTTCATGCCAGATCCAAAATGCAACTATCATGTTCTGCTTAACCCCTGAACTTCTGCCTGGACCTCACGCAAGAACTGCTTATGCTAGGTAGGTTGCACTGTTGCACTTCTGGGGATAGGTGTGGAGAATGCTCGTACTTAGCTATCATGGGACGGATCGTTTGATCTCACCTTTTTTTTCTGAAAAAAAAACGAAAATTCTTCTCTGTTTTAAACCAATAAATAGTTTCCTTTTCGTATCTACAATTTCTTTTTTTGACAGCTGGTTAAAGAAGGGTTTTTTTT